TAACCTTTAATAACAAGAAGCTTTCCCTGGGAGAATGAATTGTACCAGAACTACGAACTCTTGGCATTCCTTGCAGCTTCCTGAAAAACAGCTGCACTTGCTGCTCTTGGGTGCTGTCTTAGATGAACCAGAGCATTCATCCAAGATTATGGTAATCCCAAAGCACCAGCATTACACCCGAGCAATTGTTCATCCTTTCCCCAAAGTACATTATCATAAAGCTTGAACATAATTTGAAACAAATGCTTTTGTCTCTCAGTTTCATCTTTACAAACTTCCCTGAATTAAAAGAGTTTATCTCAACCGGTATTATCAGTCTGCAGAATTCAATATATTTTAATTATGAGGGTGAGTGAGAGTTTAGCCTACCTAATGACAAAATATCACGTTCTCCATTTAATTAGGACACATTAAAAGGTTCATATTTAAATTCTCTTCAGTGTAAGGTTGAAACAAATGTTTCAGTGTAACTAGACTATTCCCTATAAATTACATCACGCAGTGTTAGACATTGGGATGCAGAAGGAAGACAACCAGAGGCTTTGGGTACTATTTGGCAGCTGACTGTTGTAGCAAGGCAGATTTCCACGTCCTGCAGATGGCTATAGCTGTAGCATTCATATGGTTCATATAGCATGGCAGTTGCGGGGTTTAGTATAGTGCTGACTTCCTGCCTCTTCCCTACTTTTATGGATTACTCTATCACAAAGAGGTGTTAAGCTCCCAGCCAGACTCCTAGACGCCTCTGATGCAAGTGCAGAGAACCAAGACACAAACAGACTTTTAAACCTTGAAAGTGCAAAATGCACTTGGTACGTGGGGGAAGGCAAAAAAGAGGCCTTACAGGCTGGTGGCAACATCCAGTCCAGGAAAACGCAGCGTCTTGCCAGCCAAGCAAGACACATTCCTCTGCTCACTGCCAAGAGCTCTTTCAGACCACACGGTCTTTCCTACTTCCCAGGAATTTCAAAAACCCGATTTTGACTGTTTCAAACAGTCTTAGAGCAAAGAGGTTTCTTAAAGCTTTTAACTGTGGTTTGTTGGGGTTTTTTTTACTTATATAAAGCATATTCTTTTACCTCGCTCTGTTTTAAGACCTCTACCAAGAAAGCAAAAAGTGGTAGCAGTAAGCTGTCTTCACTCTCTTACATTCTTTTCTTATTCCTTTCAACATGCCAAACTATTACTTGCTCCGCTACTAACCTCTGCAGGGGCTGCCCAAGCAACCTCCAAGTGATTTAAATGGTGCTAACTGCAAAAGAGTAAATCCAGGAAGGTGATCAACTGGATAAAGAGCCTGACCTCAATATTCAGCAGTGCCTCCTGGGAAACCAACCTCCAGGGCTTCCCAGCACTAGGCACACTTGGAGAGCTGTAACTCCAGAGAGTGGCTCAGCAGACTGACTACTGAGAAAAAAAATAAAAAAAATCTCTGCTACAAAAATTAGGTCCCTTCATATTTCATCATGGCTTTTGCCACCTATTCTTGTGCTTATCTCAGAAGTTGTGCTTCATACTGTCTCTTATACCTTCATGTGTCTCCTTATCAACCCTCTTTTAAGACAGTAAAAAGAATAAAATGATCTGACTGCTCATAGATTAGCAAATTTCTTGCTCTGAACAGCATCCTCTTTCATCAGTCATTGTCACCCTCCCCAAGATTAGTAAGAGAAAGACAGTTATAAGGCAGAATCTGTTGAAAACAGAGATGAGCTTGGTACAAAGGATACTAATTGTAACTCTTTTTTTTTTTAGATCTGCATTGATCCCAACAGCTGTAGATACTTAAAAATCTTCTTCTATAGTGTCTGCACCTTCATTGCACAGTGAAGAAAAGCATATTGAGAAACGAATTCAGCCAGCACTCGGTGTTTGCACAAGGTAAGCTGGGGGATGATTTCCTGGCTCCTTCTGACCATGACAGGAGCTAGAGTTTCATCTCACATCAGTCAGAGAAAAAAGAACTTCTTTTCTTCAACAGGGGAAGGGGAAGAGACCCCAAAAGGAGATGGAGGAAAAGACAGCTCAGGGGACAGTGTATATATAGATGGGTCTGATCAAGTGTGGAGGGACATAAGTGTCTCCTGCTTCGGAGGAGTGGGGAAGGGACCAGTGTTTAGCACCAGCAGCAAAACATTAACACTACTGCCTAATTACAGAGTACTCAGCATGCATTCAGAGCTGGTGTGTTTTTCTACTAAATTCCACTCTAATTATATGAGAGGCTGTGGACATCAAAGAAGCTGTAGTTTAAGCACCTGCAGCTGCTGTAATAAGTAACAAAAGGAATGTGTAGATACATGTATACAGAGACACACATCCACCCACACTGTTATCTCGCTGCAGGAGCACTGTTTAAGAAAGCTGAATTAAAAGCAGTAAAGGTTTTTCCATCATCCAAAACCATCAGCCTCTTCTTTAATGTTCCCATCTCTTCAATGTTTTTTAGCCTGCTGCTCTATCATCTGGCTCCTCACTCACATTTCACATGTCCCTTCTGGGGATCAGACCTTCTCCTCTCTCTTGTGTACGTGCAGCTGAAGA